GCAGAAGTTATCTGCACTGTTCACACAAGTACGAGGCATCTCTGCTCACTTTAGCTAAACAGAAATGTGTCCCTTTGCAAAATCAAACACTGACAAATAAGAGAGCACGACACTGTATGATTTCTAGAGCTGATATAGGGCAATTTGTTCAGCAGAGTGATGTAAGCTTCGTTATGATTGCATCATCCATGACTTCTAGGAATAACATGATGCAATTCATATCATGTATGACGCAATACCAGCTTCAGATTGCATCATTCATTGTTTTGCCTAAAAAGCAAGTACTGTCCAAACCCAGTCATAGATTTGTTTATAGATCCAGTCAAAGATGTATTTTAGTCATTTCTGGTTTAAATTGAGATCCCTTCCCTTTATAACTCACTTATCTTCCGCCATTCCCAAGTCAAGGGTCGTATATACTGACCCAATAGCATATCTTGAAAACTAGAGCCAATCAACAATTTTAAGCATCATTTTCGTTCTCAGTGACCCAGAATTAATAAAGTTTGACTGCATTTATTTCAGAAGCATTTTGGCTGTAGAGCAGTGTTATTTAATAATGTCTTTGTCACTGATATACCTCCTTTTCATTTGCATTCTTGCAAAACTTTGGTTGTGTTTTGAAAAGTAAGGTTGGGCAGCTGGTAGGCTGAACCAACTTAAAGCCCTGGATGCCACCAAATAACAGAATGCCCTCCAAATTGTATAAAATTTGTACTGCTCATTCAAACAATATCATTAAGAGTTTGACCTAAGTAAAGTTTTCCTTGGCCTTTAAAATAACTTTTTTCATAATGATAATCTCACTCATTTCTTAACATACTGCTGGTAGCCATTATCATCTGACTGGGATGCAGATGAGTTGGTTTTCTCACCCTGCCCACATCAGCACTAGAGGTTTTTTAAAATAGCTAGCAGTCGGGTCAATAGGACTAATTTCAAATACACAGTTCCTCAAATATGATCTCATGAACAAAGCAGTTGCACACTAAAATGCATTAGAGAGAGAATCAAGGGGTGGGTTTACATTACCAAAATTAAGACCTGTAATTCATCACCGATTATTTACGGATTTGGGCTTGCACTATGGAGCTAAATATAGCAGCAAGTGGGTGGGTCTCAGAGCCCATACTCCAGCCCAAACAGGAATGTCTACACTGCTATTTCTAGCTCCATAGTGCAAGCTCTAGAACCCTAGTCAATAGCCCTGGATTCTGAGACTCATTGGGGGCGGGGAGGGTTGTTTTTGCAATGTAGATGAACCCTAAGTGGTTTGCCCAAAGTCATATAGGAAATCTATGGTAAAGCTGGGAACTGAACTCTGATCAGAGTCCAGTCCTAACACTTAAACACAAGGTCATCTCTCCTAACTCAGTAGTTGAGATTAGCTAATTGTATCTACACTCTTACTAACGGTACCTAGATTTTACCTGGGTGATTGGGAAGAGTATTTCCAAAAGGAGAGCCTCTGATACAGGGACTCACTTCTCGGATTCTTTCAAAAGAGCCAAAGCTGCTTGATGTTTGGCATATGGTATTCCACCTGTCACATTTGTTGCGTGAAAAGAGATGTCGTGGAGTAGCATATCTGTTTCTTTACAGGTAGGGTTTGACTTTGTGACTTATCATTGATGTTGAAGAGCTGATTCTATATTCATGTAACCTTGCGTCAAAAGTGTTGGTTGTATTTTAAAACTCTAATACTAAATATTAGTGACACGGGGTGGAGAGAAAGCAGTAACACTGGCTCTAGTACCAAGACTGTAATGAGGATTCTTTATATTGGTGACAATAGATAGCTCTCCGACATTCTTTGAAATGACCATAGATCTGATTTAAAAAGAAAAATCTCATTTCTAGTTGTCTGGCTAGCAAATGCAGGATGAGAATCACCTGTGCAACAAAAATTAACAGCTCTGTGTGTGCCTCTACTGAGACATCTGCAGCACCAGCCACTTACCAGATTTTTGTGCAGAAGGAATTTACCCATGAAAAAGAGGGTTCCATGGAACAATGTAGAAATATCCTACTATCAGATAGTCTATGCAGGAAAGGTGAGTTGACACTATCCACTCAATGGTAGCACCTATTATTTGGCATATTTTTCAAAGAAGATAATCTCTAGCGACTAGAGAGCTAAAACAATGGAATTAACAACCATCATAATTTTGTAGCACTTACACAACAGTTTTCATCTGGTGATCCCAAAGTGTTTCATTAAGATAGGTAAGCTTCATTATTGTCATCCTCCTTTTACAAATGGGGCAACTGAGGGACAAAGACATCAAGAATTTACCCACCATTGCACAGTTTGTCAGTAGCAAGGTGAGGAATAATACACAAATTTCCTTAGTCTATCTGGTGCCCTATCCAATAAATGCAACTATCTCCCTAGATGTGTATCAAGATGCCACCATATATAGACTGAAAGATCACTGGGAAGAATAATCTTATCAACAAAGAGCATCCCAAGTCTTAATGTCCACTGGGTCTGTTAATATTTAATCTATTGCATTGCTTTGTTAGATTAATAGGTTTTCAAGGCCAGAAGTGGTCTAGTCTGACTACCTCATAACACAGATTAGAGAATTTCACTCAGTAAGGACAGCATCAAGCCCATAACTTCTGGTTAAGCCAGAACATAAGTTTTAGGAAAACAGAAGTTCTCCTCCTGTTTTCTCTCCCACTCATTTCTCTCTCTCGAGTGGGTGAGAGGAGCCAATGGCTATTGGTATGGAATTGAAATCTGAAAAAACTTGTCCTAATTTAGGTCACCTTTCTCCAGGTATTCTCATGGTATATGTAGATACCTGAGAAGGTTTAAATAATTTAGTGCACTCTGGGCCAATCTTAATCTCTATTCAAAAAGTTCCTGTCTAACTGGCTGTTAAGTAACCCAGAAACATGGTAAATATGTAAAACTTTAAAACTCAGGAGTTAAAGTAGGAGCAGCTAGTTTATCATTTGCATAAAATTAGGCATGTTTGTAACAGTTCAGATAATCTTGTTGCTTCTTAAATTGGCATTGAAGTGCCAAAAAAACAAACAAACAAAAAAACCCTTAACCTCCCTGATTAGACTGAATTTAATTTTCCCAATTTAGACATTAAATAGAAGCTGTAATTAGCACCTGACAATCTTTTGGAACTTTATTTTTAGGATGTGCATGTACTTTTTCAGTGTTAAACCATTCTTCAAATATTTAGTAATACTTCAAACATTCCTGACTTATCTATATATAAATAGTGTGGTTGCAGCCATGGATTCCTCAAATGGCCTCCTGGTTTGTTGTATTTTACTTCCAGAGGTTCAACTCGTGGAATATTAATGTTTTAAACAAGCTTGCTCCCAAGCCTGGCTCTTTTAAATAACTTATGTGGATTATTTAGATATGTGACTGTTCTATGGCTGCATTACATTGCATTGCATTTAAAATTGTCTAAGAACTCTGCTGTCTCTGAAGCCAGGCAGCCATTTTGTGCTCAGGTAAGTATAGATTCTCAGAAGGGAGAGAGACAAAGTGTTCTCTCATGGGGACTGTATGTTTGTTCCTTTCTGTTCTTTTGTTTTCAAATGAAAATAAGTTATTTGAACTGTAAGCATCAGTTTTAACTCTGCAACTGGCCCTTTGCAGCAGGGTTGTTGTTTAGCGCTGTGACACTCCAAAACTTTTTTATATACTGGATAGGTATACCATAACTCAAAGGCAGGTGTTGAAGACTTTTTTAACCATAAAGCCCTATAAACTCAAATAGCTGGTGGGTATCCAGTGAGCATTTAGCACATAGCTAAATGAAAGGATATTTGTAGGCTAAAGGAACTGGGATTATTTAGTCTGCAGAAGAGAAGAATGAGGGGGATTTGATAGCTGCTTTCCACTACCTGAAAGGAGGTTCCAAAGGGGATGGATCTAGACGGTTCTCAGTGGGACCAGATGACAAAACAAGGAGTAATTGTCTCAAGTTGCAGTGCGGGAGGTTTAGGTTGGATATTAGGAAAAACTTTTTCACTAGGAGGGTGGTGAAGTACTTGAATGGGTTACCTAGGGAGGTGGTGGAATCTCCTTCCTTAGAGGTTTTTAAGGTCAGGCTTGACAAAGCCCTGGCTGGGATGATTTAGTTGGGGACTGGTCCTGCTTTGAGTGGGAGGTTAGACTAGATGACCTCCTGGGGACCCTTCCAACCCTGATATTCTATGATTCTATGATTTTTGGAAAAGGAAAGGGTGCAGATACTGTAGGCACAATGACTTAAGCAGTTACAACAAAAGATAAACATAAACAACTCATTCTTAGGAAAGGTGTACACAGAATGAGCCAGCAGGCTCCATTACAACTCTTTGTGCATGAAAAAAATATAATTCATGTATTTTGTTTTCATTGTTATTTAAAGCTAAACACAGTCAATGGCCATTGTGTCTACCAAGTAACATGCTATGGCTGTGTTTGATATTTTTTTTTTAAAGGAAGTAAATTTATGTACAACTTGGACCTAGCTTTTTGCTAAATAGCTAATGCAGCTAAGTTTAGGAATTCAAAAGTATGTGCTTCTCCAAAGACGGTTGTATTATGGTGATAACATTACTTTCAGTCTCCAACAAAAGAAACAAAGAAAAGCACTGTATGTTGCAGTCTGATAACTTAGCCTCCCCTTCTCTGCATGTGTCATTTAGTATGAAATTGCTCTCGGAGATGTACAGTGTTAATTAGAATTGGAAACAATATGGTGATTGAGTGAGGAAATCAACTGAAAATAATTAAGTACTGTTTTTAAGTGATTCTTTTTAACACTAACCCATACATAAAATTCGTCCCACATTTTATCACTTTAGGACATACCATGAGCATAGCTCAGGAAAAGTTCAAATGAATATTAAGTTAGGGTGGCCTACAGGGATCTACCCAACACTGAGTAGAATACCTTTTCAAGATAAACAGAACAGTGTTTTTGTCTCTGTACTATATACAAATTAGCATTTTGATGGGCTTTTGATGTTCCTAGATATCCGTGGAATACAAGAATTTTTGGACAAAGTATCTCAGCAGGGAATGGATGTAGCACTGCAGAAGGTAGAGAATAACATCAATAAAATGATCACAGGGCTCTTTGCCACCATGCGAATAGAAGAACTGAACCGCTACCGGGACACTCTGAGACGGGCCATTCTTGTAATGAACGCATCGACAGCCAAGTCCTTCATTACAGAGGTAAGTGATCAGCAGTGTTAATTTTCTCCTATCCTCTATGCCCCCAACTTTGTTTACTGAAATTTAAAAATACTTTATCAATGAATAATTTTACCTGACATCTTATAAAATACAGTAAATAGATTCACTTTATGTGACTTCTTGTAAAAATAAATACTTCAGTATGTATGCTTGATTCCCTCTCAAAAAACAAAAAACAAACAACATAAAACACTTGCTAATGATGGTTTTATGGTTCATATGAGTGCATCCAAAGGAAAGTATACATGTGCCCCTTATGAGCAATATATTACAAAAAATACAAGAGAATTATCTTTAGAACCTTATTAACATTCATGTCTGTTGTACTGCTAATTCCCTGCTCATCTCATTTATTCCTTAGCATCCACTTTACTGCTGAAAGTAGTTGTATTTTTATTTAATTACATATATCTTGGATATGGGTGTGTTTATCTGATTGACACATTGAAACTTGCTGGGTTTTTATAAAATTAAGCTTAATAATGACCTAGTAGAGCTTATAAGACTGATCGGAAATTGGGATCATAGGTTTAAGTTAAAAGGATAATATATTCATGAAGAATTTAAACTGCTAAAATACAGTAGTATTGATATATTTAAGTAAAAGTTGGATTACTGTATCAAATTTAACTAATTAAAGGAGTTTTGTGTTGGAAGTAGCTGACTGCCATATTGGTAGGATAGGTGTTTTGTTGGTTGGGGGTGGAGCAGGTTTGTTTTGTCTTTTAATGATCTTTCCTTTTCTTCAGAAGATAGGGTATGTGGGATTTTTTTATTTTTTGTGGTGTGGGGCATGGGAAAGGGAGAGAAAAATTGTTTTTAATTTTGAAAACAAATTATGGATATGTTAGAGATGGTATAATTGTCATGAAATAGTTCCAGACATTCAGAATGTATGGCGTACTATTGGTGTTACACAACTTTGCAATTGTTGGCATTTGAGAAACTGGAGATGACTTAATGGCAACCAATATGAGTGAGATTTTCAGGAGTCTAAGTGACTTAAGAGGACAAGTCCTATTAGCTTACAATGGAACTTGTGCTCCTAAGTCTCCTAGATACTTTTGAAAATCCCACCCTATTTGTATATATATTTTATTAATGGCATGAGTGGACAGCTCCATGCACCAGAAGTGCATGACATAGATATATTCTTTCCCTCACCATCAACATATGGCTGAAAATAAACATGTTGTTTGTCTATCACACAAAAATATACTCTTTTTTTACATTTAACAATAATCTCTTTCATGCTGGATCTGTTTGTAGGCAGCATTGTTTGCTCAGAGGGTTGGGAAAAGGGAAGCAGGAAGGAATGGAATAAGCTATGCCAGCAAAAGGCCTGGTCTATGCTAGACAATTAATTTGGTTTAACTACGCCCACACCCCTGAGCATCATAGTTAAGCTGACCTAAGTCCCCATGTAGACTGCACTAAATGTAAGAATTCTTCTGCTGACGTGGCTACCGCCTCCTGTGGAGGGGGTTACCTATGTCAATGAGAGAACTCCTCCCATTGGCATAGGTAGTGTCTACAACGAAGTGCTATAGCAATGCAGTTGCAAACCTTAAGGGCTTGTCTACACAGAGAGTTGTTCATGAGTAACTTCATGCGTGAACACTTCCCAAGTGCATTAAGGTAAAGTGAATTAAGGTCACTTGAATTATGAATCAGTGTGTCCATTCAAGGGTTTAATGCAGTTCAACTAATCATGTTAATTGACACCTTTAGTTAATTTGGATTAATTTTCCTAAGTGTCCCCCTGTAGACAAACCCACTTTTATTCCAAAGTAAGAATGCCTTCTTCCTGTTCAGCTTGGGTTAAGCACTTGGGTTAAGCTAAACAGGAAGAAAACACTCTTATTCCACGTTAAGACTGTTCACATGTGGAGTTAATCAAGAACAACTCCATGTGTAGACAAGCCCTAAGCCTTTATGGCTTGCCTGCCCATGACGTGCAGCTGTTGGTTCATCTGGGCTTCTTAACTTAACTTAAGTATTTAAGGAGCTAATAGAGGAGGTATCTGAGCCTCTAGCTATTATCTTTGGAAAATCATGGGAGACGGGAGAGATTCCAGAAGACTGGAAAAGGGCAAATATAGTGCCCATCTATAAAAAGGGAAATAAAAACAACCCAGGAAACTACAGACCAGTTAGTTTAACTTCTGTGCCAGGGAAGATAATGGAGCAAGTAATTAAGGAAATCATCTGCAAACACTTGGAAGGTGGTAAGGTGATAGGGAACAGCCAGCATGGATTTGTAAAGAACAAATCATGTCAAACCAATCTGATAGCTTTCTTCGATAGGATAACGAGTCTTGTGGATAAGGGAGAAGCTGTGGATGTGGTATACCTAGACTTTAGTAAGGCATTTGATACGGTCTCGCATGATATTCTTATCGACAAACTAGGCAAATACAATTTAGATGGGGCTACTATAAGGTAGGTGCATAACTGGCTGGATAACCGTACTCAGAGAGTTGTTATTAATGGTTCCCAATCCTGCTGGAAAGGCATAACGAGTGGGGTTCCGCAGGGGTCTGTTTTGGGACCGGCTCTGTTCAATATCTTCATTAACGACTTAGATATTGGTATAGAAAGTACGATTATTAAGTTTGCGGATGATACCAAACTGGGAGGGATTGCAACTGCTTTGGAGGACAGGGTCATAATTCAAAATGATCTGGACAAATTGGAGAAATGGTCTGAGTTAAACAGGATGAAGTTTAACAAAGACAAATGCAAAGTGCTCCACTTAGGAAGAAAAAATCAGTTTCACACATACAGAATGGGAAGAGACTGTCTAGGAAGGAGTACGGCAGAAAGGGATCTAGGGGTTATAGTGGACCACAAGCTAAATATGAGTCAACAGTGTCATGCTGTTGCAAAAAAAGCAAACGTGATTCTGGGATGTATTAACAGGTGTGTTGTGAGCAAGACACGAGAAGTCATTCTTCCGCTCTACTCTGCTCTGGTTAGGCCTCAGCTGGAGTATTGTGTCCAGTTCTGGGCACCACATTTCAAGAAAGATGTGGAGAAATTGGAAAGGGTCCAGAGAAGAGCAACAAGAATGATTAAAGGTCTTGAGAACATGACCTATGAAGCAAGGCTGAAAGAATTGGGTTTGTTTAGTTTGGAAAAGAGAAGACTGAGAGGGGACATGATAGCAGTTTTCAGGTATCTAAAAGGGTGTCATAAGGAGGAGGGAGAAAACTTGTTCACCTTAGCCTCTGAGGATAGAACAAGAAGCAATGGGCTTAAACTGCAGCAAGGGAGGTCTAGGTTGGACATTAGGAAAAAGTTCCTAACTGTCAGGGTGGTTAAACACTGGAATAAATTGCCTAGGGAGGTTGTGGAATCTCCATCTCTGGAGATATTTAAGAGTAGGTTGGATAAATGTCTATCAGGGATGGTCTAGACAGTATTTGGTCCTGCCATGCGGGCAGGGGACTGGACTCGATGACCTCTCGAGGTCCCTTCCAGTCCTAGAATCTATGAATCTATGAATCTATGAATGTTCTCATGGTTCAGCTGAGGACATGCCACAACTGTAATAAGCATGACTTTGATTGCAGTGCAAATATCACCTTTTCCAGAATAAATAGTCACACATGATCCTGTGTAAATTAGCAGTCTGCAAATTAGAGATTCCTTGAGGTAGAGTTTATCTTTGCTTTAACCTTTTGATATTTTTGTTTCTTGAAAACAGCAATGCTTTTAGTTATGTCTTTGCTGATCCGTGCTTTCTGTCTAGCCTTTGTATCCATGGAGCTTGCAATGATGAGGTCACTACTTAGAGAATGTTCAGAAAGAAGAAGGGGTTTAAGGTTTAAATGCCTTTCTCCCATCTTGGAAATAGCTTCTCCCTAAAAAATTAGGTAGCAACTTTATATCTTGGAAGTGCTATACAGATACCAGCTGGCTAATACACACATTGGTCCTCTCACAGAGTGATAAAGGAGCATTGTCACTTTCTTTCAAAATGGAAACAACCAGGGCCCCCTATCCATCCTTGATGTCCTTTTGGGGTAGGGTGACCAGGTGTCCTGATTTTATTGGGGCTGTCCCAACATTAGGGGCTTTTTCTTCTATAGGACCCTTAACACACACACCTTGGTCCCCATTTTTCACTGTTGCTATCTGATCAACCTATTTTGGGGATTGGGAATAATGTGGGGGGGAAGGAACAAAGGGAACAGTGAGGTGAGAAGTGAGTGGAATGTAGAGTTTAATATGGGGAATCACTGGACAGAGAGAGAAATCAAATGTAGGGGCAGAGCATGGCAAAGGTTTAAAAAAGTTTCTCACAAGGTAAAAGTGCTGCAGCCTATAAGGGTTAACAGGTTCCTGCTGGTTACATGACTGATCTGGGAAGAGTGTAAAGGAAGGGGAAATAGGGCCAAAGGGAACTAAGGGAAAGGAGTGATTGTATCCTGATTGTCTAAAAAGGTGGGGGAAGAATCCTCTGGGGAGTTATTTGCAGGTGTTTTCTAACTGATTTGCATTTTGTATTTGTGACTGGCAGATAATAGACAAGCCCTTTAGCTTAAATAGCGTTTAGCCCTCCCGGGTGTTACGCCCCAATGTATTTATAGAGAGCTATCATAACCCTTCTCAACCTTTATTTTGCTTGGCTAAACAAGCCAAACTCTGTAAGCCTCCTTTCATATTATAGGCCAGGGGTAGGCAACCTATGCCACGCAGGCCAAAGGCGGCACATGAGCTGATTTTCAGTGGCATTCACACTGCCCGGGTCCTGGCCACCGGTCTGGGGGGCTCTGCATTTTAATTTAATTTTAAATGAAGCTTTTTAAACATTTTAAAAACCTTATTTACTTTACATACAACAATAGTTTAGTTATATATTATAGACTTATAGAAAGAGACTTTCTAAAAACGTAAAAATATATTACTGGCATGCAAAACCTTAAATTAGAGTGAATAAATGAAGACTCAGCACCCCACTTCTGAAAGGATGC